ATACGACAACAATTTGCCTGAAACTGATGGCCTACACACTAAACGACAAACTACATGCTAAATGCTTTATTTCAAAAAGTTGCAGGTTTCGAGAAACCATAAAAACTGAATGATGCACACTGCTCCACTTGTCTTACATATCTCAAAATGGACAGTGTATACAACCAGTGCAGGTATATCCAAGTTCCACCGTGTTTGTTAACCTAAATATTCTATAGGCTTGAGAATGGTCCCAATGGATTTTAAGCTATTAGGTTTAACACAAACATTCATGGAAGAAAGCAAAGAATGAGAAAAACAGGGAACTGAAGGATCGGCAGTCTGATTTCATCAATAGGAAAATGAAGAAAAGATTTCTTAAGAAGGTGGTACAAGACCCTTGGAGAACCACAACTGACTGAGCAGTGGTAACTTCACAGAATCGTTACAGTGCAGAAGGAGGCTATTCAGCCCATTGTGCCTGCGCTTGTTCAATAACCAAGTGCCAGTCTCCTGTTTTCCCCCATATACATGCACACCATTTCTCTCCAAATCATCAACCAATGCCCTGTTGAATGCCTCAATTGGACCTGCCTCAACTACACTCCAAGGCAATGAATTTCATATGTGAGCTACAAGCTGTGTGAAAATGTTTTTTCTTGCATCACTCTTGCTTGTTTTGCACATCATTTTGTTTTGTGAAAATACTACCATGGTAGACAAATCTGTTTGAGGTTTTGAGAATGTAATCAGCATGCTAGGTAAAGAGGGTAGAGTATATTAGATTTTCAAAAGACAGTCAATAAGATGTCATAAGAAAGATTGAGAGTAAAGTACAAATACACATAAAGGATTTATTAAAGCACCAAAATCAGAGAGTTGAATAATGGGCTCATTTTCATATTAATGGTATGTTACGATTTGGGTGTTGTAAGGATCAGTGAGTGAATCTTGGTTATTTATCGATAACAGTGACTGAAATGACAGACAGGGCAGAATGTGCATGAGTCGCTGTTTTAGTGTTAGGTGGGAAAGTGAGTCTGAAAATGGATACAGACAGATTAACTGATTGGACAAGAAGGTAGCAGATAGACTTTAATATGGTAAAATGTGACGTTATTCACTTTAGGAAGAAGAATCAAAAACATACCTTTGCTTTAAAAAAGTGAGAAACTATTACACTGTTACACTTTTCAGAAATCATTCATTGGATGTGTCTGTAATTGACTGGGCCCAGCATTTATTGCCCATCTCTACCTTCTTGAACCACTGCAGTTCATGTGTTATAGGTAGAACCACAATGCCCTTAGGGAAGGAATTCCAAGATTTTGATCCTGTGACAGTCAAGGAACGGCAATGTATTTCCAAGTCAGAATGGTGATTGGCTCGGAGGTGTTCCCGTTGCCCTTGTCCTTCTAGATGGAAATAGTCTTGGTTTGGAAGGTGCTGTCTCAGGTACTATATCTTATTGAAACATATAAGCCCCTGAATGGTTTGGAGTATGTTTCCTCCTGTGAGGGAGACTTAGACCTATGGGAGAAGCTTAAAAAATAAGCATATGTTCTACTTGTTCCTCCAACCCTACATTTTCTATAGCACAGATACCGTCATTTTTCCAGGTTGTCCTATTCTGAAAAATGATCATTTCAAACTCAAAATTATGATTACAGTTACTGTCAGATTTGTTCAATTTCCCAAGTACTTACAAATTTTATTGCAGACCTCTAGCATCTGCAGTAATTTATTTTATTTTTATTTATAAATAAATGGGCTCCATTTAAAATGAAGATAAGAGAAATTTCATCTCTCAGTAGGAGGAATGATGTGGGAAAGAGGGTTTTAAACATAGAACAGTACAGTACAGGCTTTCCAGCCCACAGTGTTGTGCTGACCTATTATCCTACTCTAAGATCAAACTAACCTGCATACCTTCATTTTACTACCATCCGTGTGCCTATCCAAGAGTCGCTTAAATGTCCCTAATGTATCTGACTCTACTACCACTGCTGTCTGTGCATTCCACGCACCTACCACTCTCTGTGTAAAGAACCTACCTCTAACATCTCCCCTATACTCTCCTCCATTCACTTTAAAATTATGCCCCCTTGTGATAGTCATTTCCGCCCTGGGAAAAAATCTCTGGCTATCCACTCTATCTATGCCTTTCATCATCTTGTACACGTCTGTCAAGTCACCTCTCAGCCTTCTTTGCTCCAAAGAGAAAAGCCCTAGCTCCCTCAACCTTTCCTCATAAGACCTGCCCTCCGTTCCAGGCAGTATCCTGGTAAATCTCCTCTTCACCCTCTCTAAAGCTTCCACATCCTTCCTATAATGAGGCAACCAGAACTGAACACAATATTCTAAATGCAGTCTAACCAGGGTTTTATAGAGCTGCAGCATAACCTCACGGCTCTTAAACTCAATTCCCCTGCCAATGAAAGCCAACACTCCATATGCCTTCTTAACAACCCTATCAACTTGGGTTGCAACTTTGAGGATCTATGGACATGGACCCCAAGATCCCTCTGCTCCTCGACACTGCCAAGAATCCTGCCATTAACCCTGTATTCTGCATTCAAATTCAACCTTCCAAAATGAATCACTTCACACTTTTCTGGGTTGAATTCCATCTGCCGCTTCTTTGCCCAGCTCTGCATCCTGTCAATATCCCGTTGCAACCTACAACAGCCCTTCACGCTATCCACAACTCCACCAACCTTCATGCCATCGGTAAACTTATTAACCCACCCTTCCACTTCCTCATCCAAGAGCAGGGGTTCCAGAACAGATCCCTGTGGAACACCACTAGTCACCGAGCTCCAGGCTGAATACTTTCCGTCTACTACCACCCTCTGTCTTATATTGGACAGCCAATTCTGTATCCAGACAGACAAATTTCCCTAAATCCTATGCCTCCTTACTTTCTGAATGAGCCTACCATGGGGAACCCTACCAAATGTCTTGCTAAAATCCACATACACCACATCGACTGCTCTACCTTCACCAATGTGTTTTGTCTCATCCTCAAAGAATTCAATAAGGCTTGTGAGGCATGACCTGACCCTCACAAAGCCATGCTGACTATTTCTAATCAAACTATGCTTTTCCAAATAATCATAAATACTATCTGTCAGAATCCTCTCCAATAATTTGCCCACCACAGAAGTAAGACTGACTGGTCTGTAATTCCCAGGATTATCCCTATTCCCTTTCTTGAACAAGGGAATAACATTTTCCACCCTCCGATCATCTGGTACTTCTCCAATGGACAGTGAGGACGCAAAGATCATTGCCAAAGGGGCAGCAATCTCTTCCCTCGCTTCCCGTAGAAACCTTGGGTATATCCTGTCCGGCCCAGGGGACTTATCTATCCTCATGTTTTTCAAAATTTCTAGCACCTCCTCCTTCCTAACATCAACCTGTTTGAGCATATCTGCCTGTTTCATGCTGTCCTCACAAACGACAAGGTCCCTCTCATTGGTGAATACTGAAGCAAAGTATTCATTAAGGACCTCCCCCTCCTCCTCCGACTCCAGGCACAAATTCCCTCCACTATCCCTGATTGGCCCTACCCTCACTCTAGCCATCCTCTTGTTCCTCACAGAATTATAGAACGCCTTGTGGTTTTCCTTAATCCTACCCGCCAAGGATTTTTCATACCCCCTTCCGCCTCTCCTAAGTCCATCCTCTCAGTTCCTTCTAGAGCCCTGTCCGATCCTTGTTTCCTCAAGCTTAAGTAAGCTTCCTTCTTCCTCTTGACTAGATGTTCCACATGCCTTGTCATCCAAGGTTCCTTCACCTTACCATCCCCTCCTTGCCTAAGGGAGATAAACCTATCCAGCACTCGTAGCAAGTGCTCCATAAACAACCTCCACATTTCTGTCATGCTTTTCCCAGACAAGATCTGTTCCCAATTTATGCTCCGCAGTTCTTGCCCAATAGCAATGTAAATTCCACTCCCCCAAATTAAATACTTTCATTTAATGGAACACTGGCACCTACGATGGGACAGAGATAAATTGCTGAGATGTGATCCAACTAACCAGATTGATATAAGATAGAGAAAATGATAAATCGAGATGTTGCAGGAATTTTACGTTGGGAAATGTAGTAGGTAGTGGGCTGGTGTGAAGCTGAAATGGAAATGGGAATCTTTATAATAGTTAGAGAATGAACCAAAGAGATTACAGTAGAACACCCTGACATTGTTCATCAGACACCATGGGCAAAGGGAATATTAGACGATGTAAAATATTCAAACCTGAGGAAACCTGTGTCTGTGTAAAATCAGAGCAAAAGGATAGGCAGATTAGTGTGTGCGGCTCAAAGAAACAATTCTGTGTACAAACATGCTGAGCATAAGGAACAAATAGAATGGATCACAGTTGTAAATTCAATCTGGAGAATATGACAATGTCATCATTACTGAGAGCAGGAGTGATTTCTGAATATGTCAGATTACAAGGTCTACAAGATTGTTAGAAAACTGGTAAAGGGGAAGTGACAAGTCTTGATAAGGATGAAATCATTCCACTGGTATTGGAGGATTTAATGTACAGTTAGAATATAGTGAGAACTTATGGGTGAAATTTAGTAATTGAGAATTGTGTACAAGTTCCTATGTTAACAGCTAGGAAGAGATAGAATGCATAAACTTAGAAATTAGTAAAGGTAGAGTGGTTTTAACAGAGGTTGTGACTTTCATATTTGTTGAGACAAGCAGTGTATCAAATGTCTGAATGGTTGTGAAATTTGTGAGTATGTTCAAGTTAGTTTTCTGAAATAAGGAACAAAGAGAGTGTAAATGTTTACTAGATCCTGCCATTGAAAAGGGCAAGAACTCCACATTATTGATTCTGAAAAAGAGTCATACCCGACTTGAAACATTAATTTTGTTTTTCTCTCTCCACAGATGCTGCCAGACCTGCTGAGTTGCTCCAGCAATTTTTGTTTTTATTACATACTGTTGAAACAATCAGAATTGACTGAATGAAGCAAGGCGATATTAATACACAAAACCCACAACAGGTTGTGGTGATGAAACATTAACCCCTGAAGTGTTAATCGATGAAAGTTGATGAGGTATTTGTTGACCCATTTATCACATCCTGTGTCCTTGACATAAATTTCATGACCTTGCTGCATTCACAGATTAAATTTCTGTTAAACATAACTGAAAAGCAAAGGATTTTAATTACCAACATAATCATCCGTTTAACAATGTGATTATTATAAATGTATGCTTCGTTCATCTCGAAAATGAACATTTACAAATGTGGCAATATCCTTGCTGCACTGTTCTCAGGTCATACTCACAGCATGTTAAAACAGTAAAACCTCTTCAAACGTAAACCATAGTCGAATAAACAGGCACACAGTGGTAAGATCAGGACCAAAAATTAGGCTGATACTTTGCTTAGCAAAACCAGTCTAACTCTCTCTGAAAAATTCATATTAATTCAATTACTCACACTGGCGGAATCTAGAATTTCCCACAACTGATGTGAGATGGGCAGTACTGCTGTTAGTTGGTTTTCCTCACTCTCATTAACAAATTTCAATTTGAACAGCCAAAATTTGAAAGTCAACAACTGTTTAAAGTTTGTGATCTGCGATATCCTCAGTTTTTAAACCACGTGTGAAGACCATCATTGAGACTTATTTGCTATAGATCCCATTATTTTCCTGCATTACCAATTTTTACTCACATTGAATGCAACAAGTTTCTCTTAAGGTTTGACCTTTTCCAATATTGTGAAAATGTATACAAGATGTTTTGAATCCTCAACTTGTTAATGATCTATTATAATGTCATTCGTGTCTCTCTGAAATGAGCCCACAGTTTCATGAAGACATAGTAGGAACTGCCGATGCTGGGGAATCTGAGATAACAAGGTGCAGAGCTGGATGAACACAGCAGGCCAGGCAGGATCAGAGGAGCATGTTTTTCTGAAGAAGGGCCCAGACCCGAAACGTCAGCTTTCCTGCTCCTCTGATGCTGCCTGGCCTGCTGTGTTCATCCAGCTCTACACCTTGTTACCACAGTTTCATTAGTTTCTTTTTCTTTGTTCTTGTTCTATTTATCATCGTTTAAATATGAACTTCATATTGCTTGCATGTTTTTTATTGTTCTATTCCTTTATGTAGAATTTTTCTAATTTATTTACTTTATTTACTGTGTTTCACCTCAGTTGTTGGCTACATTTGGGTGCCTTTGGCAGTGGAAGGTTTGGTCTTTGGAATATGTCCAATCGTTCTCACCCTCTCCACCTCACTACCTTTCTCTCCTCCTTCAATCTGCTTCTTAAACCTACATCTTCCACATATCCTAATGTCTCTTTATGAGAATCGCTGTCTATATTTGTTGATGATCGTTCTAAGTGTCTAGTCTTGTTTAACAATTATAAAATATGATTTGATGTGCAGACCTAGGGAGAAATCTACTTCAAAAATCCTCCTCAATTTCATTTTCAGCGACTATGTTTTGCCTGAAACTGTTAAGTGTAAATAAAAGTCAATGTCTCTAAGATATTTCCTTCATTCTCTTTTGATGTTAGTCCTATTTGTTGAACTGAATGCATTATTGATGTTTAAATGGCTTAAATTATCTGCATGGTCACCCGACAAGTCAATCTCTGAGTTGACATCACTACAGGTCCTTCAGCAACCTTCAATTAAGTTTATATCATTATTCCTTACCTCCCAATTGCATCACCTCAAACTCTCCCCATTACTCTTCATCTTATCCATGAAGAGAGGCTGTCAATGTAAGTAAAAGTGGGAGAGATTAAAGCACGCTGCTGATTTAAACTATCGCCAAACTCAAAATTATTTCAAGGATACTCAATTCAATTTCAAAATACCACATTCTCTGCACTCTGATTTGATTAGTTGAAAATTTGAATCAGCGTCCCATTTTATTTTACAGTAGAAACATTTAGTCCCTGAAATATAATCAAATGTTACGACAAATTTTACTTGATTCTTTGTGTACAAATTGCAGTCAAGAAACACACTAAGTTAAAGGCCTGCAGGTGTAATAATCATGCATTGTAAACTGTTCGATGTTCGCAATTAAACCTTGTCGTAAGTATTAAAATGTGATGTGTGAAAGTGATTGATAAAGGAATTTGCTCAGATCATTCCCTCACAGACCTGTGTACGTCCAGTGACCATGAGCTGCCGTACACCTTAAAGTGTATGTTCATCTCGGAGAACCTGATAAACCATGTCAGCCTCCATAGATACTCTATATCAGCCCAAGTCAGATGACTCAGCTGTAAATGTTGAGCTGAAATTTGTTGAATCATTGTACAGGATGATAACCATTCACCGTGCCTATCGAATAGGAGGTTGGACAGGACCCTGAACTGTTTGTTTCTGTTGGCAGCCATCGTTTCTGGAAAACTCAATTGGATATCGACCATCCCACACCTTGTAAACTGACAGATAGACTGACACACCAAAAACATGTGATCCTCAGATAGGCTGTGAATCCTTGAGACCCCAAACTATTTCTTTGTGTTTTTTTTAATGAGCTTAAGCTTTCAAATTATGCAAAAGTTTTATTGTTTGCCACATCATTCTTAGCACTCTAAGATGTCCTAGTTTGGAATTTGCATAGCACAGTGGGATTAGACTTGAGTTTGAATTCAGGTTTGAACTAGAAAATAATTCAGTAATAGCAAGCCAACTTTCCTTAAATGGCAGATAGCAAGAATCATACAATAAAGTGTTTAAGAGTAACATCTTCTTAATAACAGACACAAATGATAGTGTCATTAAAATTTGTCAGGATATGGCTGATTTACTGAACAATTACACAGTAAAATATTAAGATATTAAAGTACCAGATCTGTACGGAAAAGTAAGCCAAAATTACAGAGAGGACTCACTTGTTTCGGTTTGAGTAAATATAAATGCAATGGAGAATTAAGTAATATTAAATGTAGACAATCATCAATCATTGGCGCTTTGATTCTGAAAATATTTTTAAAAAAGGAGGAAATTGTTGAAGATCTTAGAAAAGTTTCTCAATTCAGAAATCGTCCTTATGAATTTTTCACCAAGTATTGTCTTCCAGTAGGCTCAAAGGGACACAGGTAGAAGAAGACTCCTTCCAGTTGTGGTGTTACATATTTTATTCTTTGTCTGCTTTATCCAAAAGCAGTTAGTTTCCAAGAATATAGGTGAAATACTGTAATGCTGGAAATCTGGGCCTTTGTCTCTGTCAGAAATATGAAACAAAAACTTCCAACACCTTTCAGTTCTGAACAAAAGTCATACTAGACACCAAACACTAACTCTGTTTCTCACTCCACAGATACTGCCAAATCTAAAAGGATTCTCCAGCATTATCTGTGTTTGTCTGAAATGTAGCTCATTTGTGTATTCCACTATTTGGCTTTTCTTTAAAGAAGGATAATCTGCAGTCAACTTTTATCCCAAAATGTGATCTTCCGGAAAACGATAAATCAAAGTGAAGGTTTGTCAGATTTGACCAGCTTCAGTCAATTTGATGACATTTTAGTCTCAGTTCAGACTAAGTTTTGTTTATTGATGATTTCCTGATTTGACTCCTGATCAAGAGATCGTTGTGGCCATCTTTAATCTGTGTTTTGCCCTTTCAACAATGATTTTAGTCCAATGAAAGGATAATCATTAGATGACGGAAGTTAGAAAGTGATTTTTCATTTTTACTACTACCATAACAAAGCCTTTCATCGAAATCGAAAAACATGGGCTACAGTGAGAAATTTGGTAAATTCTTATGGGATGTTGAGTTGGGCCTTTCTTGAAATTGAGTCCAACAAGTCGCATTTTCCATCAAAGTACAAAAGTAGAGACAAGGTTCTGGTTAGTGAGCAATGAGAGGCCTATTAATGGCGATCATCACTCATTATCACTTTCATTACGACCTAATGTCACCTCATTAATAGACAGGGTTCTATTACTCCCACCCACTGAGAACTGCCAATATGGATGTTTGAGCTGTTACCTGAGTTCTCCAGCTCGTTGCTTGTCCCTCCAGACTTTGATCTTAGACACCTGGCACCATCTCAGGGGTGCAGTCTGCAAGCAATGGCTGAACATACCCCGTGCCCATGGCCACTAGCATCTGATAGGTATCAGCCACACTGCATCCTCATGGTGCATTTCCAATCCACTTCCGGGAGTTTCCTGCACTTTGGAGCGTGCCAGTACTTTTCCTTGAAATGCCGCTACAAGGAAGTATCATGCACAGGCAAAAAGCAACCAGTTCACAGGCTGGACCTGGTGGCAAATCAGAGATACTGTCTTGCTCACTGTCTTTGGACTCTCTCGTGTTGCACCTATCTGTGTGCTCACAGTATAATTGCCTAGGATTGCATTTTCGTGTTTTGTCTCTTTAACCGCATCTTTAAGACTCATGGTATTTCTGTCTTGTCTTGTACATGCGTGTGCGCGCGTGCGCACACACACACACACACACACACACACACACACACACACACAAAGCCTACACAAGGGGATAAGTCAACCACAGTTACCTAGGGGAATTTAGGACAGCATCAAAAAACATTCCAGGTGGCAAAGATTCCCCTCTTTTGTATTTTTGATTGCCTTATGTTGTTTTGTTGAACTTGAGTATTATTTCAATAGGGAAATATTGCAGAAATCTGCAGCACAGAGGGTGCTGGAAGTCCTCATCTGGTAATAGGGAAGGCAAATGAAATATTTGTCTTTGTTTCAAAGGGAATGGAACAGAAAAGTGGAGAGGTTTCACCAAAGCTATAGAAGGCACTAGTCAGACCACAGTTGGGATACTGTAAACAATATTAGTCCTCTTATCTGAAGAAAGATTATCAGGCATTGGGTGCAGCCCAGAGAGGTTTCATTAAGCTGATGCCAAGTATGGAGGGACTGTGTTATGAGGAGAGGCTGGGTGGATTGAGTCTGTATTCATTGAAGTTTAGAAGAATAAGAGGTAACCTTATTGATATACAATAAAAGACATAAGAGACATGACAGGATATCTTGACATGATGCAGAGAGGTTGTTTCTGTTTGTGGAAGAGTCTAGGACCAGAGGGCATGATCTCAGAATAAGGGGTCATACATTTAAGACAGAGATGAGGAGTAATCTGTTCCCTCAGTGGGTAGTGATTATGTAGGATTCTTCACCACGAAGGGCTCTCAAGGCTGGGTTGTTAAGTATATTCAAGGCATATAGATAGATTTTTAATCAATAAGGGAGCCGAAGATGATGGAGGAAAGGCAGAAGAGCAGAGTTGAGAATTAAGAGATCAGCTGTGAGTTCAATAAGTAACTTGCACCAAAACAGCATGAAGAGAATACTTTAGAAACAATGATAATTCTAAGCTTAAACAGGATCCGCCAAAGTAAAAGCTGTCAAAAATTAAAGCTGCTAGAACGTGTTTGGAGTACACTTGGTCTTCCAAGTCTGACCAGACCTCTTCAAGGTAAAGTCACTACAGTCCCACTTGTCATCTGAGAGATAACTGGAGGTGATTTGGCCTGAAGGCCACCACTCCTCAGGTCTAATCCTGTTAGAAATTTCCAGATTTCTATGAGATTCCCCCCTCATTATTCTAAACTCCACAAAATACAATGAAAATCTCCTCATACGTTAGTCCTGCTATCTCAGAAGTCAACATGATAAACCTTTGCTGCACTCTGTCTATAGCAAGACCATCTTTCCTAAGATAATGAGACCAAAACTGCACACAATATTCCAGGTGTGATCTCACCGATGTTCTGTGTAATTGTAGCAAGACATCCTTGTTTCTGTACTCGAATCGTCTCGCTAATGAAAGCCAACATACCATTTGCTTTCTTTGCTGCCTGCTGCACCCACAGCAACTGGTGCACAAGGACAACCCAGGTCTCGTTGAAATTTCCTTTCTCTCAATTTACAGCCATTCAAATCATAATCTGCCTTCTTATTTTGCTACTAAAGTGGGTAACCTCACATTTATCCACATTATACTGTATCTGCCATGCATTAGCCCCCTCACTCAGCCTGTCCAAATCACACTGTAATGCTTCTGTATCCTCTGCACAGCTCATCTTCCCAACCAGCTTTGAATCATCTGCAAATTTTGAGATGTGTTTAGTTCCTCCATCTAAATCATTAACATATATTGTGAATAGCTGGGGTCCTGGTGCTAATCCCCGCCGTAACCCACTAGTCACAAAAAACAGAAATTGCTGGAAAAGTCTCAGCAGGTCTGGAAGCTTCCGTGCAGAGAAAGCAGAATTAACGTTTCGAGTCCAGTGATCCTTCTTCAGAACTGATTCCAACCAGGAGAAAGTTAGTATAAATGTTGAAGATGGGGTGGCGAGAGGGGGAGGAGTAAACAACCATCCCAGAATGCTTTATCATGGCACCGACTGCAAAGAAACCCTTCCCAGAGGGCTTCACTGTGATGCCAACTGCCAGGACACTTTTCCCAGACTGGGCCAAACTATACAAATTGTACAATTAAGTGCTTTTGTAATGCTAAACTCAATACCTGACCAGTACCCATGGGCAGCAGAGCATAATGCAAAGAAATATCACACTACATTGTCTGCCTTGGACAAGGCCAGGGGCCAAAACAAAAGCATTCAAATCTGTTTCCACCAGCTAAGGGTTAAATTTTCAGCTTTTTTGCAAACATAAATTGGAGCCACAGATGTACAAAAGCAGGCTAAAAGTATAGGAGCTTCACTATTAGCAGATGCAGCCTGTCTTGTGGGAAATAAAGATGATGCTAGTAAAGAAAATGGGAAACAGCAAATAAAAGTGGAGACGTGGACAGAGATGTGTTGGAAGTTATAATGTTTTCTTTAAAACTTAGAGATTTAAGATACATCAGAGTGAGTTTTACCCTTCTCCTTGGGCCCTGCTATGTATGCAGGAAATAAACAACAGTTGCCTGACTCCAGAAATCCTCTTATCAATTTATCAAACTGTACTACATCAGTTATTGATAGATCACTGACTTCCAACAACCACAATCATCTTCCTTTGTACCTTGTATGACTCTAACCAGTGGAGAGTTTTCTCACTGATTACCATTCATTACAGCTTTGCAAGGGCTCACTGGTGCCACACTCAGTCAAATGCAATCTTAACATCAAGGTCAGTCACTCTCATCTCACCTCTGGAATTCTGCTGTTTGCCCACGTTTAAATTAAGGCTGTAATGAGGTCAAGAGCTGGGAGGCCCTGGTGGAAACCAAACTGAGCATCAGTAAGCAGGTTACTGCTGAGCAGGTTCTTCTGAATTGAATTGTTGATGATAATTTTCAATCAGTTTAGTTAGACATGATTCAATATGGCCTTCCATTAACACATCTACACTGGAGCAAAAGATAATAACACAGTATTTAAAATTTGACCTAAACATGAAAAACAATAACAAATTTTAGCCCCGAGCAAAGATATATACATATATGCAGAGAGAGGAGTTATTTGTCTATTTTATTAGAACCAATTGGTGGTATTTTCAACCAATAATTATGATTCTGACAAGTGTCGCCATTAATAATGAGGACATCACTGAAAGACTGGCTCAGGAATAACATATCGGGTGAAGAATATTAAACTATTTGGACAGTGAGTAAAAAGCCAATATGTCCTGTTTTGCTATAAATGCTGGCAGTCTATTAAGGTACATTTATTAATTCAACAATTTCAACCATCTAAAAACAGCTTGAAATGAAATGTGCAGAATGTCTAGTTTGGTATCATTTCTCCACCATGGATTATCTTTGTCCACAGATGCAAAAGAAACAGATGATTGGGTTTTCACTTCATGGTATCGCTTATCATTGCAATTGCAATAAATGCATGAGGATTGGTATAGAGACCAGTAACCAATCAGACAGATGGAGAGAGGAGGGTGGGTCATGAAGATATACAATAAAAAGAGACAAAATCTGTCAGCAAACAGCATGAAACAGTTGAGTCAACTCGAAGAGTGACCAGAGCAGCAACTATGGCTTGTGAACTATTCAGCCACGAGGAGAAGAAAATTATACATGACATCGGCAAATTGCTCCACGAAAATGCAAAAGATTATGGTGCGGAATCTTTGTCCAGGTAATTTAATCACAGTTACATTCTGAGCAAAGTACTTTGATAAAGGGAATCTGTGATGGTGAATTTGAAGGCAAAAGCAAACATTACTGGAGAAGCTGAGCAGCTCTGGCAGCATCTGCAGTGAGAAAAGCAGAGTCAACATTTTGGGCCCAATGACCCTTTATCTGAAGAAGAATCCAACTGGACTCGAAATATTAACTCTGCTTTCTGTCCACAGATGCTGCCAGACCGACTGAGTTTCTCCAACAATTCCTGTTTTCGTTTCTGATCTGCAGCATCTGCAGGTCTTTGTTTTATATTATTTTGAATTTAAACGCAATGAAAATGAGGCAGTGAAATTTTCTACATTGAATCACTGCGTGATCTCAAACAAATGGCAATCTTTGAATTCCAATCTTCTGACATGTCACCTGCTCTGGATTTTCCAGTTACTTTTGTGTTCCAGGGTCGACTTCCGACATCAGAATCTGAATAATGAGGTTGGATTGGGGATTAATGGCTTATCAAAAATGTGATTGTGGTTTTATTTAATTTATCTCTGTTCTGGTAGGCTGTTTATGATTTATCCTGGAAGCAAGACTTACTTTACCTACAAGGACTTTAGCATTTCAAACCTGAAAACCCATGGGGAAAAGGTCATGAATGCATTGGCCAAAGCAGCAAAAGACGTGGATAATCTGAAGACGTCACTCTGCGAACTTGCTGAATTCCATGGGAAAAAGCTTTTGGTGGACCCTCAAAACTTCCTGGTAGGTATCTCTGCTGGAATATTCCTGGTGTCTCCTGCACTCAGATGCTCGGCACAAGGATTGGACATTCACGCTGCTTCTTTGAAAGGACAGCAAAATTAAAACAGAGATAACACAGTGTGGAGCTGGGAGGAGCACAGCAGACCATGCCTCCAGCTCCACACTGCGTTATCTCTGACTCCAGCATCTGCAGTTTTTACTAACTCAATGAAAACCAAGCTGTGCACAGAACTGAGTTTCTGATAATGCCATGTTGAGACTGTGCACATCATCAGGATCAGGAGAATGAGTTCAAATCTCCCCTGTCCCTGAGAGCTGGCCAAACACGTTAATTAAAATTTGGCCAGTCTCACACCAGGACCTGCTGTGTTTCTCCATTTCATTTTGTTGTTGTTTCACATTGAGAGAATGCTGTTTTGAAATCTATTTTCAAATGTGTATTTCTTTTGGTTACAGGTTTTCTCCAAATGTATCCAAATGACATTGGCCAATCACCTGGCCAGTTTCTCTTCTGCACACCAACTTGCTGTGGACAAATTCCTCAAGGCCGTTTACGAGCATCTGAGCTCTAGGTACCGTTGAAAATGCAGCCAAGATCATTTTGGTAGAAAGCAGCTCGAAGCTCATTCTCCAAACCCCTCTCTGCCCAGTTTGCTCAAACTACATGCCAATGAATCCTTTCTCTTTATGAACACTCTCCATCTTTCTGTAGCCTGCGCTTTTCAAAATTGATTGTAATTGTTAAACTGCTTCAACCGAAATTATTCCTGAGACGCAATAAACATTTGCTTTTATCAATGCTGCACCGTCTACTGTCCATGATTTACCTAAACACTTCATTTCAGGCTCAACACTGGTAGAAATAAGTTTAAAACAACCTGCAGGGTGCATGAGGCAACACAAAACAGTCTCAACAAACTTACACTCTCCATGACAATAAATGGAGAAAATACACTCATTTTGTTGCAGCAATTTTAAAGCCATTATATGATGGTCTTCATGAGCAAATTGCAAATAAATCTGATTGTTAGCTGGGTTTCTTCCATTTCAGAACTAAGGGTATGTACTATCTCCTACATGTGCACTATTTCCACTTAGAATGTGAACTACAGATGATTATCAGAGACAGGAGTAGGCCATTTGACCCCTGAGGCCTTGTTCTGTCAGGGAGCCAAGAGTCGTTGTGATCAGGAGCATAGAAAAATTCCCTTTGGCCCATCACATCCGTCCCAATCAAAACAACCACCTAACAATTCTAATCCCATTTCCCAGCACCAAGCCCACAGCCATGTATGCCTTGGCATTGCATACTTCCTCGATGTTGAGAGTTTCTGCCTCTACTACCCTTACAGGCGTGAGTTCCAGATATTCAGGTCATAGCTGATCTCACTAATGGCCTTAACTCCACTTTTCTGCCTGCCTACTCTAGCCTGTAACTCTCTAAATGATAAAAACAAACTGCCTTATTGCAAACATTCAATAATCCATCCTTCTCTGGTTTTAGTTCAAGAGACTTCTAGAGACTAAATTCCCAAATAAAGGAATGCCTCTTCATTTCTGTATTCAATTGGAGACTCATTATCTAATGATGACCGTGAATCCATTGTTGATTTTTGGAAAACTCATCTGGTTCACTGATGTCCTTTAGGAAAGGAAACTGCTATCCTTACCTGGTCTGGCCTACATGTGACTCCAGACACACAGCAATGTGGTTGACTCTTAACTGCCCTCTGGGCAATTTGGGATGGGCAATAAATGATGCCTGGCCAGCAATGCCTTCATCCCATGAATGAATAAAGAAAAGAAAAAAATTTTTAAACTGTGACATCCTAGTTCTAGTTATCCCTCATGAGAGGGCATTGGTTCTGATCACTCGTCAAACTCCTTCAGAATCACCTACATTGCAATAAGGTCACCCCTCATTCTTCTAAACTCTAATGGGCATAGGTCAAACTTTTCGTCATGCAAGAACACTTTGTTCCCAGCAATCAGACTGGCAAATCTCCTCCAAGCAGGTTTCAATGGAGGTGTATCTGTTTTTAGATAGAGGGACCAGGACAGTACTCCAAATACGATCTAACTATTTCCCTGTAAGGTTACTGTAAAATTCTTGTGTGTTTATATTCCATTCACCTCACCAGAAAGACCGACATCCCTAATCACATGCTGTCCCTGCACGATTATGCTGACATTTTGTCCCTCATGAATGAAGCCACCCAGATCTTTCTACGCTGCAGCATATTATTTCTATCGTTACAATGCTATTCTTCCCATTAAAGTGAACAGTTTGCCTCATTGAACTCCACCACCCACCACAAAGCTTGTTTTCTATTTGAAATTTGACTTTGGAAAACTGAAACTCAAACTGATAATTGCAAAATGCAGCTTAAACTCAAAACAGTAAGCTCATTATTGCATTATTACTTTTCTCATTGTGGATAAGAAACCTGTAGCAATGTCCAATGGATTTCAGAATGTAATTTTCCAATCTCTGGGTGTCTAACCCAGTGCTGAAATTTCTCTCTGTGCAGAGAACATTGCAATATTGTTCAGAAATTTTCTTATTGAACTCAGAACATATCTCCCCTTTACCAGGCAATAACTTTTTTTCTTGGAAGTGGGTTAAAATCTGTAGGGTTTTTACACAAATCTTATAGCTCACTTTACATTAGAATTTCCTGTCAAGACAGTGGATTCTAAACTAATGCTTATCTATCTGTACAAGTAACACTGACTATAAAGATGTTGGATTGTTAAAAATCAAATTAGTTTATGACAACAACAGCCAGATTTGCACTTAGATAGTACCTTCGGGATTAATAAAACATTTCAAGATGTTACCACGAGATATTGCAAAGACCAAATTGCATTGAGTCATGTGGGAAATATTAGGCAGACCAAACATTTAACCGAAACCATAGTTTTAGAGCGTATCTTAATGGAGGAAAGTGAGCCAAAGAGGCAGAATGTCAGAGAGAGGATATCTCTGAGCTGAGAACAGAGGCAGAGTGTTTGTGGGAAAAGGCACAAACCACGTGTTAGATATACAGGGAGCCTTTGAATCAAACAACAGTATGGAATTTGAGATGCTTAACATCAGATAAGACTTGAAGGAGTTTACACTGAGAGGTTATTCTCCCTGGGTGGGGAAAAAGGTGACTCAGTGCCAGGATTAGAGATCTGTCACTTAGGACTGAGATGAGGAGAAATTTCTTTACAGGATGGTTTGTGAATCTTTAGGAATCTCTACTTCAGAGGGGACAATGTTCCATCTGAAAAGATATTTAAAACTGAGAAAGACACATCTTTGATCCCTCCAGGAATCAGACAAAATGGGGAGTCAGTTAATGAGTGGAGCTGAAGAGCAAAAGCAGCCCTGATCTTATTCACAGATGGAGCAGGCATGGTGGACTGAATGGCTGATATCTGTTCTTCATTCAAAATCTTTTTCTGAGGTTGAGGGAGTCCAAAACTACAGGGTGTAGCTTTAAGGTGAGAGGGGAAAGATTTAAGAGGAAGCTAAGGGACAACCATTTCATGCAGAGGGTGACGCATATGTGGAATGAGCAGCCAGAGGAACTAGTGGAGGTTGGTACAATTACAACATTTAAAAGGCACCAGGGTAAATGATGCGAAGCATTTAGGGTGATATGGGCCAAATGTTGGCAAATGGGTCTAGATCAGTTTAGGATATCTGGTCGCAATGGACGAGTTGGACCGAAGGGGCTTCTTGTTCACGCAGAGAGTGGTGCATGTATGGAATGAGCTGCCAGAGGAAGTGGTGGAGGCTGGTACAATTACAGCATTTAAAAGGCATCTGGATGGGTATATGAATAGGAAGGGTTAAGAGGGATATGGGCAAAATGCTGGCAAACAGGTCTAGATCAGTTTAGGATATCTGGCCAGCATGGACAAGTTGGACTGAAGGTCTATTTCTGTACCGTATGACTCAATGAGTCGAAGTGGAGTCAGGGCTCCCAATAGTGGAGCTCCAGATGCAAAATAAGAGAGATTGCAGATATCATGAAGAATTGTGTGTCTGGATAGCTAAGATAGATAGATAGCTAAGTGCTGAAGCCAGGTGGCATTTGAAAGCAAGGATGAGAATTATAAATTCATGACCTTTTAGCTGAGAGCCAACGTAGATCAATGAAGATGGAAATGACATATAAATGGGACTTCCAGCAAGTAAAAATGCAAGCAGCACCTGAGATATACTGATGGTAAAATTTGGGAGGCCTGTCAGGTATCAGTGGAACAGTCAGGGCTATATTTGTTAAAGACATAAATGAGGGTGTCCGTAGCCAATTAGCAGAGATGGGTGATATTAATCAGGCGATATTACAGGTTAGAAAAAGGCAGTTGTATGGTCTCACTTCTCACTCAACAACCCATCACAAGTCAGACAATATTGGGCTGGAGGAGCTATCCAGGGACAATTGGAAATGATGGCAATGCTGCACTGAAGACGCATGATACTGTAAAGGCTATCAGTCCTGACGATCATACTCAAGACTTGTACTGCAGAGCGAGCTGCATCCCTGGAGAAGTGTTTCAAGATGGTAACATTCACTTCGTTCATTTCAAGTGATTTGAGGAGAAGGAAGGATGTCTTGATGCAGTTTTAAAGGGGCTTGGTTGACAACTGTGGAGGACTATATATAGTCTTGGCCAATGACCTGCAAGTCAGCAGTCAGTTGATTTTCTGGCTATTGTTGCAATGTAGCTTGTTTTTGATTCTTTCTGCAGTTGTTTTAAATTTTTGAATCCTGTCACAGCAGTTGTGGAATTGAATTCAATAAATAGCCGGAATTAAGAATCTGATGATGGCCCTGAAACCACTGTCACTCTTTAGAAAACTCCACCTGGTTCACTAATTACCTTCAGGGACCTGGCCTTAACTGCTTCAGAACTACAGCAATGTGGTTTACTCTCAACTGCCCTCTGAAATGGGCTAGCAAGGCACTGAGCTGCATCAATTATTACAAAATCCAAACAAAGAAATGAAACTGGACAGACCACCTGGCATCGACCTAAGCACCACGAATAATAAACTCAGCGCAGTCAACCTGCAAAGTCCTCCTTTTTAACATGGGCGGGGGGGTGCGGGTTGTCAAGTGCCAAAATTGGGAGAGCTGCCTCACAGACAAGTCAAGCAACAGCCTGAGACAGTCAAACTGACAGAATCATACCTCACAGACAATGTCCCAAATACAACCATCACCATTCCCGGATATGTCCTGTCTCACCGACAGATCTGGCAGAGGTGGCATCGCAGTGGTATACAGCTGGGAGGGAGTTGCCCTTGGAGTCCTTAACATTGACTCCAGACCCCATGGCACCAGGTCAAACATGGACAAGGAAACCTCCTACTGGTTACCACAGAACATCCTCCCTCAGCTGATGAATCAATACCCCTCCATATTGAACAACACTCGGAGGAAGCACTGAGGATGGCAAGAGTGGGTGGGGGATTTCAATGTCCATCACCAAGAGTGGCTCAGCAGCAGCACTATGTTTGGAGCTGGTAGGGTGCTAATGGACATCAGTGCTAGACTGAGTCTGCAGCAGGTGATGAAGGAACCAATAAGAGAGGAAAACACAAGAGGAGCATGGATAGGGTCAAGAGACAAGATCGGTTCCCTAGGGAAGGGGTGTCAAAAACTAGACAGCATAGGTTTAATGTGAGAAGAGAAAGATTTAAAAGAGACCTAAGGGGTAACTTTTCAAGCAGGTGGTGTTGCGTGTATGGAATGAGTTCCCAGAGGAGGTGATGGAGGCTGGTACAATTACAACATTTAAA